TGGTATATTTCTTTCCTTACGAATAATTCAACCAGAGTAAAAACAAAGGCTCCGGACGACCGTCAATCATAAAGGACTAAACAACTTTAACCAACAGTGCAAAACATTGTTACTGCGTGAGTCAACCTGTATATGACACTTCATGTAATTTTACATTTGGATAATAACAACACAATTTTTTAAAAGAATCGTTGAAGAAAAAGAGAGCGTTTGATTTCTAGAATGTTATACATTTTTATGCAATGACAGAGAAAGAAGTGTCAACGCTTCCCGGTCGTTGCAACAAGAGAAAAAAATCTATGGCTGGCGTTACGGTAAAATGACGTAGCAATGCTGCTCCAGGTCAATAGACATATGCAAGTTTATAATTTCACCAGGTTTTATATAATTATCCTATTAATTAGAAATTTTTCAAATTTGTTTTACTTGTTCTTGATGCAATGTTGAGGAATTTTCATTAATTTATCTCTTTCCTCTATGGAGTGAAAGTAAATGTCTCAATAATTTCCGACCACCCCTCGTACAGTGCATAATTGTAACTATGCCATAATGATGGCAATGTTTTACAACCACTTTTCAGCTTATATGATGTCTTGTCAACTCTTTTAATTGACTTGATTTCATTATTGAACTATATTATACTAAAAAAAATTACATCTACATGGAAACCTGTCTCAGCTAAGTTTTTGCCACCAAGTTGACAAAATATCTTTACTACAAGTCTACAATAGGATTCGACACATTATCATCAGACAAATTGTCATCAATTTCTAACAGGTCGTCTTAATTACTGTAGTGGATATAATATTTGATACGTGGAGATCAATAACTGTTAATTCATCATTAGTTGGCAAGTCCACATAGCATCTTATAAAGTCGAGTTAATTAAATGTTAACTGATGTCGACTAGTCAGAAGACAACTGATCATTGATTATTTTCTAAGATAGATATGTTGACTTGTTAGATAAATTTGTCGATTTATCAGGAAATTATGTTGACCGGTATTTGTTGGACACGTATATCGATTTGTCAGATATTATGACGAGAAGTTGATATCAGTTAAGGGAAAACCATTTTATTTGAAGGCGGGGAAGAGATGGTCGAGATTTTTTTTTAAATAAATATTCCGATCTAATGTGCAGCAGCATATTCTATAGGTGTTGTAAATCAGATGTGGATTCTTAAAAATCTCTAAAGAAGTTTTAGAAATTTGAAATCGCCACCTTTTTCAAAAGTCAGTAACATCAAAACGTACGGATTTTGTACACTCTGTACAAGCATTCCTCATGACAAATTAAAAACTATACATTTTTTATATCGTTGACAACTGATTATTAAATAAAAATTGGAAGTCGAAAATTTTCGTATCTTGTGATAGGTCGTCAACAAAATCACTTTGTTATAAATCACCCTGATTCTTCCTAAAAGTATCCTTAAGTTGATACTAAAAGGAAGCTGGAGTTCCTAATTGACACCGTTTTTGTAGTCTTCGAATACCAGGTCTTCCAACAAAATTAGCAAGGGCACTTATTGTGCTCTTTTTTAGGCCGACCTGATTTTATATTTCTATGAAGCAGCATTTATTTTAAAAATAAACTTCACACGAGAAGAAGAAAACACCTGCTGTGTCCTTCAACTCGTCAAATAGATACATAGATACATCGACGTATGATCAAGTAACAATGGTTACTTTAGTTCACATGTCGACTCGATATATCCTAGTGAACTTGAAATTAAAGACACCACTGAATGTGCCACAACTGTTTCATATTTGGAGGTTTTACTGACTATGGACGAAGAAGGTCAACTGTCAACTATATTGTATATAAAAAAGAAATGAATTTCCTCTGGAAATCTTGGTATTTTATTTATTTTTAAGTACTAGATGTGCCTTGAATCTATCTTAATGGATAACAATCCGATGAAATTTTATTCTTATACAGATACGTAATAAAGATACGTAAATATTCTTCGATGTCATTTGCATTCGCTATTTATACGAAATTTCATGTATTTTAGATTTTCCATGCAAGTTCTTCACATTATCACCGAAATGTTTTGCATGTTTCATCTGCCATTTGTTATCCACACACATAAATATTTTTTTAAATAATTAGATTCTCCTATTGTGCTTGTAACTGTGTCCTCTTCACCATTTATCTCATCCTGAAAGCTCCTTGAGAATTCTCCATCATCTGTCACAGCATTGAAACTTTCTTGTATGGCTTGTTTTTTTCTCCTTGTCGGACACATTATGAGAAAAATCTTGGTTTGATTCTTCATATTCTTTAAAGTGGTTTTGCGTTTCTTAGTCTTTCTAATAAAGGATGGTGTCATCAGTGTCAGTTGAAGACTAATCTTCTTTACTTTTGGAATCAGTGAATCTATATTTTTTTCAGTTTGCCCTCGTTGACAGCTACTTTCAAGCCGTTTAAGGTGTTGACACATAAACCGTTTTTTCTGTATGTTCACACTGTTACTGGTATGGTCATAGCCACTTATAAAGTTTTCCACCTTTTCTGCTGGTATTTTTTAAGAAGATCACTTTCTACTTATTATTTTTTTTCGTTTGAAACACTCTTGTCATGGACTAAATGGTAGTACTATTTGTATATTCACATATTATTTCGAAATTTTACATACGACTCGTAACTGTTATCGAGTTTAAGAGATTTTAAGCTTTGAAAGTAAAGTTTCGTAGTAAATCGAAGTATCAAAGTTTTCACTATAGTTAACTGTAGTAAACTATAGTTAGTTATAGTAAACTAAAGTATTTTTTTGTTAGGGTTCTTTTGTTTTTCTGTCCTTCACATATTCTTCTTTTGGCCCTTTTTCTTGCCTCTGTTATAGGCAGGACGTCGTCTTAATGCAAAGTCTACGTCTGCTACCTGCTTACCAGAACTATCAGTGACAGGAAGACCAAGTTCTACACGCAATCTTGCCTGTCGTCCATAGACTTAAGAATACGGATCCAGTTGCGTGGACATATGTTTAATTGTTTCTGTATGCAAAAAGCACCATTGGAATGTGTTCACCCCAGTTATTACTTTTTGAATTACCAATGTTGAATAGCTTAGTGCGAAAAGTTCTGTTGAACCTCTCTTTGTGGGTGGTAAGCTGTTGCAACTGTGTGCTCTATTCCCATTCGTTCATAGAAGCAATCATTTATTACTTTAGAAAACTCTCTGCCTTGGTCGGTAATTAGTATATTTGGTACGCCATAGATGCAGATAAATTTGATGAAAACGCTCATTACTGATACTGCACTTTTTCAGGAATACCTTCTGCTTCAACCCATTTCGTAATGTAGTCAGTTAGGACTACGTTATAACAATTTTCTGAAAGAAAAAAAATTGAACTACATTGAAAAAATTCATCAAATTTAGTGCTTGACGGTACATTGTGAATATTACACTATTGCTGGAGGAAAATGTGAACATAACGTTTATATTTTTTTTTCATGATGTATATGTAATAGTTGAAACTTTTGATTTTTTACGTTCTGGAAGGTGATATATATGATAATACTCATAAACATGCAAACATCTTTGCTCCCCATTATGAAAATAGCCTTTTGATAATTTTTTTTTTTTCAATTTGATCTTATCATAAGTTGCTCGTGAAATTATAACTGGGGTTAGAGTTCTTAAAAACTTCAAATGATATAAACTGAACTAAATTCTACAGCGATCCACTTAGCATTGCAATATAGTGTACCTCAATTTGATTATTTATTTGTTATTGCTCAGATAGATGATTACTGTATTTTGTTACATGTACTAAGTATGTATTAAACTTAATAAAACACACCCTTTTCTATTTCATATCCTATACTATCCTTTGACTAATATCAGCCCTCGGCCCTCTGACTCGGGTTGATACAAGATGCATTTTTTTTTCTATTATTCTGAACAATAAATATGGAAGACGAAAATCATGTTTCTTCAAATGGCCCAATCAAATCCATACCAATCTGTGAGAAAGCTTTGTCGTATACTGCTATGGGGCAAGAGTTTCTTTGCTTTCTTCAGATGCTCTTTTCGCTGGCAGGTGTCGCATTTCATGACAAATGTCTTCACATCATTAAATGATCTCGCCCAGTGATATCGAGAACGGAACTTCAGCTGCCACCTAAGATTAAAAAAACAACTTTATTTCACATTGATTTCAGCATAATTCTTTTTAATATTTTTAAAATTTACAAATCAAGGGACCAAACTTGTTTAAATTCACAATCATTGTTTCTCTATGAGTAGTATCTTTGCATTTTTACATGTGTTATATACATAGATTGTTAAAATATCTTATGTAATTATTGATAGCAAATTAATTATAAGCAGCGGGGTTGCCCCAGGTGAAATCAGTTGGGATTGCTATCCAAAAAATTAAATATTAGTAAGTATGCGTGTTCTTTTATGGCCTAGTCACCGACAGAAATGTTTTACATAAACTTTAGCATGGAAGGTAATTTTTAAGCAAAGTGTAGGTAAGTTGCCCTATTATCGAAAACATATAATCTAGACTGATAGATGAAACGTAAATAAGAAAATGCATCAGGTGACCCACAACACTTTAGTTTTAATGTACCTAGTCAGAAAACCTCCTGATTGCCAAAAGAAGTATCAGTTTCCCCAAAGTTATACGGTCTAATAATTTCCTTACCTTTAAGAAAAAAGGAAATAAATATACAAGATTCGTTTAAACGTACTTGAATATGATTCGTGTCGCTATGTATATTGTCGCATAAAACTGGTATATATGGACAACATTGACTAAGAGAATATTGTTTAAGAATAATTAGATATTATTGTTTCCTTTGAGTAAAAAAAAAATAAGATGTCAATACAAAACGAATTATTAGGATCATGAGGGAAGAAGATGTCAGGAACCAAATTTGCAATGAATTAATGTTGTGTTGTGTGGTTGTGAAGGGCTTTCCTCCTGGAACTCAAGAAAAGGACTGATATTTTTTACTACAAACTTGCAAAGGAATCTAAAGATGGATCAGAATGGTTGGTCTTGTTCAAGGATTCAGAAAGTAAGTAAAAGTTCAAACGATATATGATATCTATTAGTATAGATAGATAGATAGATAGATAGATAGATAGATAGATAGATATACCAACTTGTATCGATATCACCATACTTGTTTACTAAGATGTTTCAAAATGACATTTTACTTACAACTTATGGTTACATTTGTGACCTACTTATAACATATCTGCGTAGATATTGTCTTTAGCCCATAAACTATATTAACCTTCCTCGGTTATCGACATCGTCATTGACATAAATTTTACAATAAACCTTTTAAACACGATGTCTCCCTTGATTCATTACTATTATTATGTAAATAAAGAGTTAAATGTAGGTCTTCATCATATTCGCACCAAATTTTACCTGATCATTTACAAAATTAATTTGTTATAAAACATTCTGATTGTACACACATTGTCAAATACTTTAAATGCATATTAAAAGATTCTTCAATTTCTCATTGACAATATCTATGTGTTTTTTTTAAGACTGTCTTCCAACAATCTGTAGGAATTCCCATTGGTACAAATTGCGCCTAGGCATAGCAGACCTTTTTCTGTATTCATGAAATGTATGGAGATAACGAACAGTATTCAAGCTCAAAAGTCAGTTAAACAATACAAATTTTGGAGGAGAGCAAATACGGACCTCCAAAACATCAGAGGTGGAATTAGGTGCCATGGAGGAGTGAGCATCTACTGCCAAACGGTCACACCTGTCGTGTTCTCCTTGTCATGATCGCATATCATATGAAGCAGAATTTATCCAAAATCGTATACATGAGAAGAAGAAAATACTTGCTGTGGCCTTCAACTCGACATTAAGATATATTGAAGACGTCTTATTAATTGATAATAATTACTTCTATTCATATGTCGACTCGATATATCTTAGTGAACTTCGAATGAAACATACAAAGAGTCTGACACGTCTGTTTCATATTTTTGATATTTTACTAGAAAAAGACCTTAATGAACATCTACAACAAAGCTTAATGACAAACTTAATGAATGAAATTTAAATCGTCAACTTCCCTTACTTATGTAGCAATATACCCTTATCACCGGCTTATGGGGTTTATATCTCCCAGTTGATAAGATACGAAAGGGCATGCTCTACGTACGAACAATTTTAAAACGAGGTAAGTTATTGACAAACAAGTCGATGAAACAAGAATTTCAAAAATCTCGTTTAAAGTCATCATTTCGCAAGTTCTATGGTCGATACAATGACCTTGTTAAGAAAATCTATCATTAAATCAAATGCTGCTGGACGTTTATTTTACTAATTGTTAGACCATTATTTACACACTAAATTGTCAACACATTTTCCGTTATTTGCCGAGTATGTCAAGGATCACGCAGGTGTGAGCGGTCGGCAGGCGATGCTCAGTCCTCCTTGGTACTGGATCTCATCTCGGTCAGTGTTTGCTCCTCTCCTAATTTGTATTGCTTGAATGGCCATTCGAGCTGGAATACTGTTCATTATCTCCATATTTCATTGTTAAGATAGTCTTTAATATATGTTGTTACTGGTCTTTAACAATCATGTTTTTTTTAAATACAGAGCAATTAGGACATGGTTTAATACGCCACAATCAATGCACAAATTGAAATGTAACGTCAGCAGTAGAAATGCAAGGAAAATTATTATAAATCTACTGAAAAATCTAAATCAATGCATACAATAGCATATATATACGCGTTTCTCTTAGATGGTGTAATCTTACCCCAAATATTAAATAAAGAGAGGGTAATCTTCTATGTGCTTTGATATCAAGTCTTAATTCTAGTTGGTAAACTATTTTTTACTTTTTCATGAGTACAAAGAATTTTTCTCTTTTTAATTCTCTCTTGTGTGTAAAATAAAATCCTAATGTGTGTAATGATCTTTTAATCTCATATTCTTCGCTCTTGTTTACTATGACTCTTATTATGCTTAGTAGTTCCGGTTGTTATTTCACTTTCTGTCTGTAAAAATATCAATATTACTCAATAGATTATATATAGGTTTGTTGAACTTATATTAAGGAATTTTGGCACGGGTTTACTGTACATGCGCCAAGCTTGCGAGTGCATTTGTACAGCCAACGACTGCCATTATTCACCAATATAAGTTCTTCATTTATTTCGAGCTACATGTAGTTTAAGATCTGTTTTATCATTTATTCATCTTCCTTATAAATAAAAAGGTTCATAGTAAATGACGCTTATGAGGGAAAAATAACTATGTTGCAGTCATTTTGTCATTTAATGTTTATATCGGAAGTTTTTATTCGTATATTTTTAATGTATTCACTGATTACCCCTTGGTGTTTCAAGAAGAAGATGCGAATTTGTTTCATTTAGAACACTTTTCAGGTGCCAAGAACTGGATCGAACAAATAAATATAAAGACATCAAACGCTACGCTAACCATAACTGCCAGCACCCAATATGACATCCCTGATCCTTGGCTTCAGGTAAAAAAAGTTTTATTTTCATGGAGTAAAATTTGAAGCACTGATTTTCTAGGCACATAATGAGGAGTCTTAAAACAGTCATATATGTCACAACAGCCATGAAGTAAGCAAAATGGCATTAAATTTTCCATGACCGCGATTACTTCTGAGGGTACGGTTAAGTATCGCAGATATTGCTTCACTTATTTAGTCCATCAAAATATTCTATTATTTTCAACAAATTAAAGTTATTAAATGTTTATATTATTCCTAATTTTCTGATTGGCTGAGATCCATTGCTAGATAAATGTTTCTATTATATTGCAATCACCTGCATCGTCCTTCCAGGTGAATATAAAAAAATATTTTTTCCTACATTGGACTAAAAGAAGATTGTGATCTTCTTATATGATGTAATGAAACTTTTTAATACTAGTAACATTGTTGACATTTTTAGACGAAAGAAAGCTTAGAGAATAGGAAAAGGAGGATTTGATAAATAAAACAAAATAATAACTTGATATATGACGCATGAAACGTGAAAAGTTAGATTTTTTTTTACGTTTTTGGTGTTTTCTAAGCCCCAATTTGAGAGAGAGAGAGAGAGAGAGAGAATTTCTGTAGATTACCTGGTAAATTATGTGACCAAACGATGATATGAGTGCTTTAAAATCCTAACGTCAGTATCATTAACTCTTTTTGTTCATAGATAATTACGCCGTATGTTGTGGCCATAGACTTCGAAACAACATACTCGGGTTATGCTTTTGCCATCCGTAAAGAGTTCCTTAAAGGCAACGAAAAGAACATCGAAAAAATATACACTGTTCATTGGAATGCTGGGGCATTGATTTCCGATAAAACACCCACAACTTTGCTACTCGACAAAAAGCAAAATTTTGTCAGTTTTGGTAATGAAGCTGAGAGTCTGTATGGCAAAATGTCGGAAGAAGAGAGGACAGATCATTATTACTTTCATCGATTTAAAATGTTGCTGTATGACAAGGATGGAAATGTGGTAAGTATAGTCTCCATCTGCCATAAATGATTATCTTATCAAGTGATAAAAATAATTTTCATATATACATTTATATATTTATTTAGAAAATTACCAGAAATACCATTTTAAAGGATATAAAAGACAAAGAGATGTTGGCCATAGATGTTTTTGCACACTCCATACGGTATCTTAGAGATCACTTTTTGATGAATTTCGAAAAGAATAATTTAGATAAGGCTTATCTGCCCTTGGACGGTGAAATAACCTGGGTTCTAACTGTCCCTGCTATATGGGACGAGCCTGCAAAACAGTTCATGGAGGAAGCAGCTGAAAAGGTTCTTTTATTATCATGCTTCAAATTTGCACTATCTTTTTCAATAATTTTCTTAATGTAAATGTTTTTTTTTTAATGACGTAAAATCTTTTTTAATATATTTTAGGCGGGTATTCCAAAAGATTTCTTAATGATCTGCTTGGAACCCGAAGCAGCAGCCATTTTCTGCAAGTGTTTACCTATAGAAAAAGGAGTTGATTGTTTGAATGCAATGCAGCCTGGTCGAAGGTTTATAGTGCTTGACGCTGGAGGTAAAGTATATCCGACAACAGGATACTTTTATTTCTTTCAGTTGTACAATTCTTATACTATGTTTGAAATAAAAAAAAACTTATGAAAAAGAAATTAATTTAGGTTTTTTAAAAAAGAAAAAAAAATGGTTTCTTTAGGTGATACAATTGACATGGCCATACAAGAAGTGACAGAGGATGGAAAGTTACAAGAAATAGACCGCGCTCAAGGTGGCGACTGGGGAGGAATTTTTGTGGACGCCCAGTTCAAAGAAATGCTAGAAGAAATAGTTTCCAAGCCAATTTTTGAGGCCTTTCGCATGAAATATACTGGAGACTACATTGATTTATTCAGATTTTTTGAACGCAAGAAGAGAGCAAATCCAATGTCCAAAAGAGTGCACATGCTGGTTCCGCTGTCATTTTTAGATATATCAGGTGAAGATATAAAAGATTTGACAAAAGCTCAAGGCTTTGAGAAGGATGTGACATGGAAAAGAGATAAAATTTTCATCGAACATAAAAATTATAAAGAATTTTATAATCATGTCATAGACAAGATTGTCTTTAAAGTTGAAGAAATTTTAGTGTCCAAGGAAGCAAAAGGAACTGATGTGATTCTTATGGTTGGTGGATTTTCCGAATCTGATCTTTTACAAAAGAGGATACGAGAATCCTTTCCAGCTTGTAAAGTAATTATTCCCCCAGAATGTGGTCTGGCCGTTCTGAAGGGGGCAGTTATTTTTGGTTTCGACCCAAACATGATTGCAGCCAGAGTGGTGAAGTACACGTATGGAGTCGGTACCAACACAATCTTCATCGAAGGCACACATCCCAAATCGAAGAAAACGTTGATTAATGGAAAGAATTACTGTAAGGACACGTTTGATGTCCACGTGAAAAAGGGTAAAACAGTATACATTGATGAAACTACAGATAAAACTCATTACCCAATTTACGAAGACCAAACATCTGTCAACTTTAGAGTCTTTACTTGTGAACAGGCGGATCCAAAATATATTGATGATGAGGGGTGTAATGAAATGGGTTCTTTGACAGTTCCAATGCCAGACACTAATGGCGGAACCAATAGGAAAGTCAAAGCCAAATTCAAATTTTGAGGGACTAAACTTACTGTTGAAGGAATTGATGAAACGTCTATGACTTCAGTGGACATCAAATTTGATTTCCTGGAAGGTTCGCCGTAATTTTAGACTGTCTGTAAAACGTTGTTTATGTCTTGAGTCAATTCATAATGATTTTACTCAGTTACGATCATGATGTTTTTATTTATGGACTTGACATTTTTCAAACTACCCTTGCTATTTTAGCACATCTGAAGTGAAAGCTCAAGTAAGATTCTCTTATCAAGTAAGATTTTCCGTCCTTCCGAATGAAAGCTTTTCCAATTTTCGACATCCTCTTAAGAAACACATGGCAAGAAAACGTGTAATTTATTGGAAGTTTTCTAATGCTTTGTAAATTTTGGATCCTTTAAATAATAACCATCGGGTGAAGAATGGGGCCATTGCATATAGGTTTTACATTAAAATAGATAGCATACAAACATTTTAAAATATCTTGAGAACTAATATGAAAGAAAAGGTGAAACTAATATAGAAAATTTATGAGGAAGTGTAGATCCTAAATTGTTCAAATTGTCATCACTCGGTTAAGTTGGGGCCAAAATAAGGCATGTAAGTTTAACTTTGAATAAATATTTTCTGTGAAACGCAGAATGAGAAGTATAGAGCACAAGACTATAGGGAATTTCAAGGAAAAATCTTTCAAAATCATCCTTGCAAGAACCATAGGGCTATAAAAGTTGAAATTTATTTTATATCTTTCTAAGGAAGTGTATGTTAATTCTCAGTTGTTCAAAACATGATTCCCTGGCGAAAGGTTTGACCACAAGACGATATGAACGTTTTATGTCGAAATAGCTTAAAAAATGATATCATTGAAAATCTTATCTTCAAGAATCACTGGGTCAGAAAAAGTAAAGGAAGGTACGGTTTTAGCTTTATTGTGCCCTAAAAAAGTTTTGAAACTGGCTTAAGTATAAGTTGAGTATATGACCATGATAAATCAAGAAAGGAAATGGCATGAAGGAGTACCATTCTGGAAATATGACGTCATTAATTTGATGCATTTCTCTATCTCAACAGAAAAAAAACTCAAAATGACCCATTTCAATGGTTATTTCCCTTAAGAAAACAGTGTCCACAGCCAAGCGCTCGGCACATCGAATTGAAAGTCATGGGTCTTTCGGATGAGACCTTAAACACCGAGGCCCTGTGTCACGGTAGGCGTTGGCACGATAAAGAACCGTTACTGGTCAATGGCCCTGAGTGCCGAGTAAATGTTTAAATTTGAAGACTTCACCTGTATATGGTAACGTCTCTATATGAGTTAAAAATTGAAAATGGTACGTAAAACAATAAACAATAAATCGATCAATCTAAAAACAAAAGACTAGTCATAACATTCAAATTACTTTAGCGTGATTAATTTTTCTTTTTACAATATTCTGAAGAATGTGCCAAATAGTGACAAGTTTTACTTGCAATTGTGCACTGCGTTTAGACATTTGTGACGTCTCACAGTTATTTGAAAAAGATACAGGTGCCCTGTGCAACAAGATCCCAATTACAGAAGTTCTCTTTGGAATAAGTTTTTTGAACGATTTCAATTACACGTATATGGAAAAAAAGTTGTTTCTTAACGAGAATAAGAAACTTTATTATTAATTCTCAATTGAATAATTGATTTAAAAAGTTTTGTTTTCAAATACGTCATTGTCTGTCTGTCTGCAAAATATCTGCAAGAGTTGTGAAGTGATATATTCGGGAAAACATTAAAATTAATTTAAAAAAATAGATTTCAGTTTTTCTGTCCAACAATTATACACATGTACTGATGCTTGTTTTTTCCCCTAACATTTACAAGCTTATATTTTGTATTTTAAAAGAAAAAACCTTCATGAATGACTTTAATGGATCATAATAAAATATCAAAAATGGATTTAGATTTGAGATTTTATACTTAGATTTCGAAGGTTGTCGGCGGTATGCTCTAGCCCCTATCTTCTTATCGTATTCACCCAGTCTCGGTCTTTTAAGCAGTTGTTCACACCAATTCTTAAAAAAATGTGTTGTTGAAGAGTTGAAAAGTTTTGACAATTTTCTTATTTACGAAATTTTATGAGTGGAAACTTCTTTTACTGAAGATCTATAATAGCATTTTGCATTGCTCCTTAACAAGAATGAGAAAAATGAAGAGTAAAAAATTCTTATAATTATTCATTTCGTTTCTTATCCAAAGTTTTTATTTATACATTTGAAGAAATATAATCAGTCTCTAGTTAAATATTGGTTGCTCTCTGAAAGCCATGTAGATGAAGTAAAACTATGTGCATTTGAAACATCATGCAGCCATATTTACGGAAGATTTATCATTTTTTATTAATTGCATATTATAATTTTTTAGTAATCTACCATTCACTCTACATTGCACTGAAAAATTCATTGAAGATTATGGAGATATTTAAAATTGGACCTTGAATAATAAGTTGGATTTTAATTTCCTTGTATCATAATTTTTCTAAGAAAAGACATACTTCCTGGCATGCCTGCTTTAAGGGGGATGATCAAAAACTATCTTTATATTTATAAAACCACTCTTTAGGTCACAATGAAATTTGGCATACATATAGTCGTAAACATGTTCTAAAAACAACAGATGTTACGTAATCTTTTGTTCCATTTTTTGTGAAGACATAATGTGAAAATGACGTTATATGTAAATGGCTTTTGACAAAAATGGTTGACTCAGTCGGACTCGAGCAAGGAACTGCTGTGAAGTTTAACGTATATCTTGAAAATTCCTTTGCAGGGGCATGTAATAGTTTGTACTAGGTTCATAAAGACAATAGAATTGCCAGACGTTCAATCATTTATTTGGTTGATTGTTTTAGTGAATGAATGAAGATGGTAAAAAATGAAGTTCGTTCTCGTGCTCGGTGAAAGTCAGCTGGGAGAGAGTTGCGTGCTTATTGAGCAATTTGTTATGAAAGATCGCAAAGTTACAGTTTGAAATGTAGTTGAATACCTTAACAATAAAATAATTATTAAATCCCGAAAATATCATTTACTATAGACTTTAGACATACCACAAATGATAAAGAGAAGGCGTCCATATCTGATCCACATTGGATTAACGATCACCCGGGACAAAGGAGTCAGGATGTCACCATGCTCATTCTTGGAAAGGATATCCTTATCCATCCATCCTTTTGCCGAGATCAGGCCTTTTGTGACAAATATATTATTCTTTTTTATAAAAAGTAACCTGCACGGTAAGAAATACAAGACTCGGAAAAATCTTTTTGCATCCATGCTTCGTAGCGGACTACGGAGCATGTCACATGACCACCTGGATCACGTGATTCGTGCATGGGCAGAACAATGGCAGATGTGCATTGAAACCGGAGGGGACTACTAAAAATACACTGAAACCTATTTTAAATGTTTTATTGAAGTGTTTAAATCAGTTCGCAAAGTCTTGATCACCCCTCGTAAATGTGTTCTTTACAGAATAAAATGTTTGGAGATCCCCTGATGGCTTAAAATTTACAACTGCTTGTTTGAGTGAATGTTTTATTGTGGATGAAAGTCTTTTTACGAAAATAAATTGCTCATATGCATGCATTTCAATATCCGTTTAGGTTGTTCTTCCATTGTTGAGGAATACATGTTCCCATAAAATCAACAAAAATCGTACTCCCGAAAAATAATTAAAAAAAAATGCCACAGTGTTTTTATTGTTACTATATGAGAGATTTAGATATTGCCTTTGATTGCTAAGACATTTTTCAGCTACGAAGACTGAGAAGTTTTTTTTTTTTTGGTCTCGTAAATGTACGGTATTATTGTCTTAGAAGAATGAAATTCTTCGAAATTTTATTGATGGGTTATTCTCTAAAAATCATTTCTTTTTAATAATTTGACGTCTCTGTTGTATTTGGCGTTTTCTCCATTGACATTAACAGATGTTTTTTTTTTTTTTTTTTTTTTTTTTTTTTTTTTTTTTTTTTTTTTTTTGACTGCACACGTGTACCAAATTGTGAAAAAAGCAATAATTCTACAATTAACAAGAGAAAAGGCTTGAACAAATTTCCTATGTTAACAGAGATACATTCAATCTCTACCAGACGGCGTTACTTAAGCTTCACTGACACCCCTGTTATCATCTTCAAAATTGTCCCTGTGACATATGTAATAGGCGTAGAAAGAGGTAAGGTCTCCATGCGCAAAAATCGGCCCCAAAAATATGGATTTTTAATTTAGTCCAAAAAATGAACTCCACTTATTTTTCACTATTTACAATTATTGTATTCCATAAATAGACAAACTTCTGGAAATGGAGTACTTATGACGTCATATTTATGACGCAAACTTGACCTAGTTTGGCAAAAATCATCAAAATCTCAAAGAAACTTTGCAATAAATTAATCAAATACCTCTGCACGCATGCACCAAAATAAAATTTCTCTTAAATGTTCATTATTAAAGCATCTATCAACAGTTTAAGTATCGTATATATTGGTGCACGCCTGCGGAGTATATAAATTCCGCCGATGAATGAAAAGCTCCAAGTTATTCATCATCATATATAAAAGCAATGAAATCGACATTAGATATGTTTTGTACTGTTTTATTATCGTAAAGGTTTTAAAAAGCATGACTTCATATACTAATCGACAAATGAAGTAAATTGATGTCAATCCACGACATGGCAGTTGCATAAAAATATAGTCATTTAGGGTATTCCGAATCACTCTGCGTTTTCGGTGTACCTCGCACGACACATACACACGTGTGACAACCAAACAATCATTAACAGCATGGTTAATACTTATTATTTACAAAAAAATAAAGAGGCATACTAAGTGCGTTAATTAATGTTTGTAGCCCCCTAAGTTTGGGGTATTTCGAATCACGTGTGTACATGGTCACAGCCGAATAAATTGCACACGCTACACTTTTTATTGTCACTTTTATATATGTTGCACTGCCTTCCATGTCATTTTTAATTGAAACATATAAACACGGATTACAGTCAGAACAGTTAACCAAATTTTATTGTCACAAACATAGGGGCGCGGATCCTGTATGCGCAGTTGTCCCTGTTTACAATAGGTGACGATATACAGTAGGTGTTGTGAGTTGTGTGTGGGTGAGGTAAAAAGCTATAATAAACAAAAACAAATATACAAATATAAGCTACAAATAAATTCAACACAAAATAACAATGTTTGAATGAACAAGATTCAAGTTACATTGCTGACAAATTAGATACACAGTTTTTTACTCGCTAAAAGTACAAATGAACTTTTACAGAGGTATTTAATGTCGCTTTACATTAGCCTTCAAACTGCAG